GCATTTACTGTATGAAAGGCATTTACTAGGTATGTTCAAGTATTATCTCTTAATCCTACCAAAAAAAGAAAAAAGAAGAAAAGAAAGCAGAGGGAAAGAAAGAAAAAAAAAACCTAGAGAAGCATCTCACTTTACAGCTGAGCGAATTTAGGCTTAAAGGGATATGTCCAAGGTCACATGCCTGGTAAACAGATGCTGATAATTTATACCCAGACAGTCTAACTCCAGAGTTTATGATCATAACCAGACAGCGTCACACTTCTCTGCTGCAGTAACGGTGGGTGTTCAGTAAATGGTAGCCATTATCACGGACAATAATAGCTCATCATCATATGATTGTGATTTAGAGATTAGGTCTTCCTGCGTTCATTGTCTCAACAAACTTTTTGGTTTCTTTTTATGGCTTATGCACTGTGCAAGGCACTGCTGATTCAATTGTGATGAGAGTTTCTGCTTATGAAATGAACCTCTGTGCCTTTTTATGTCACAATGTAATGTTCAGGATGGCAGGCCGACTGATGCTCAGCGTTATGACTTGACTGTACTCTATAACTTGCTCCCTAGAAAGTCAGCAGGTCCATAATCTGGGATCTATGAGTAAGACTTTATCTCCCTGCAATGCCTGTTACTAACTGTATGAATTGAGACAAGTCACTTAAGTTCTCTAAGTGCATCTTAATTTCATCACTTGCACAAACGTTGTCATACAACACTGCCTTATCTAGTACAGGGTTGTTCAAAGGATCAAATGCCACATAGTATAGGAGACTCCTTGATAAACTGTAACCTGAAACTAATGTTAATTATTACGGTAAGCCCTTGCAGAAAGCTTATGTAACTACATTGACAATATTCACTTCCTTATTTTTAATTAGGGATTTTAAAGGTAGAGGGTTATAGCTTGGAAGGGCAATAATTTTACTACGACAGTATCTTTACATCTTCACTAATGACAGCGTCATTGCCATTACATTTTTAATAAGGGTCCCCTTGGTCTGCATCATTGCACTGGAAGGACGTAGCTAATAACTTTTTTAAAAAATTGTAAGTAACT